TTACTTGGGAGGGCAGCTGAAAATATTCAAAATATTCTCTATTTATGGCTTTATTCGGCGCCCTCATATTAACCACGAGCCGGAAATCTGACTTGCCTTTTGCTACGGCAGACATGCCACTTATCCAGTTGGGTACAATAAATTTTGTCACTTTTTCTATTATTCCGCGCTTTTCCATTTCGTTCAGTCTTGTCCGGGCAGCCTCCCTGAATGCTGCTGGGACGTTATAATACGCACTCTTGAGTGCTCAACTTTTTGACTCAGCTCTGGTACTCTCTTCGGTCCCAAGCTAATCGATGCACCCCTCGAAACATAGGAAAATCCACGAACCCCTCATTTTATCTGTTATACTTTCATAGCGAATCAAAACAAACATAGTTTCGTATTAGAATTTCGACTAGAATGGGGTACGTTAATCAATTTGCTTGGGACCAATAGGCTAGTCAAGTAGTGAGCCAATTTAAAATCGTCAGTTTCCACCGGTTGCTAATAAGTACCTCGGTATTTTATTTAGCTGGATCTAAGTTAAAAACTTTCCGAGATTCAGTGAACAAAACCTGTAACAAAGGGGAATTTGGCCGAGGTCTCATAGGGTCGTTTTTCAAAGCAATGAAAATTTTTATATGGCCGACTGCATTTTTGAAATTGGCACCTTAATATGCGTCCATGATGAATTAAAGTAAGTCGTAGTTCTCAGCAACCATTGGACCAAATTTGACCCACAAACCGCCAAATGAAAGGTACTCGTAGAACGCCATTGATTTTTTTTTTTTTAATCGGCCATCTGGTTCTGGAGATATGGAGAAATTGGTCGAAAGTTTCGTCTTAAAGACCATTGCTGAAATCTTATTATGTAAGAGCACCCGCACCAATGCGTTGCTATTCGGGCTGCTAGTTTGACAACTTTAGCCAAAACTATTTTAGTTAGCAACTTGTTTACGCACCGCTATCACGATTGTGAATTTACGTTTTCGGCTTTCGCACCGATAGTTGCTAAACTTATCGTCGAACTTTGAACTGAAATTGAACACAGAGTTTCGTGATTGTGTTTTCGGCAATATTGATGTATCTAACCACGAAGACTGAAGATTGAAGGTTAAGATCCAACTACAGACCCAATATTACAAAATTTAAACTTAAAGACCTATGAGTAAGTTCCAGGCAGCTCCATGAATATCAGGAAAACTGTGAGAACTTGAGGGACGTTCCTAAAACTTTAGGTTTGTTTCGAGAACTTTATGGCAGTTCCATTTATTTCAGTAAAATAATAGAAACCATCAAGAAGTTCCGAAAATTTAAGGATAGTAAAAAAAAGTTCAGGGAATGAACTTAAACACATTAAGAAAGCTACACAGAAGATCCATGTTTAAAGGGAAGTTTTAAAATCTTCCTGGCAGTTCCATTAATATCTGAATAATTCCAGGAACATCATAAGGAGAACATATGGGAAGTTCCGTAATTTAGGAAAACATAGAGATCTTCAGGGGAGTCTGAGGAATGAAAAGAAGTACTGAGAATTTCAAGAAGTTTTATAGGCAATCTGTGAGAACAAAAGTTAAGCTCCGAAAACTTCTGGAAATTTTGGTGAACTTCAGGCAAACTTCAGGATTTTCAAAGTGGATCCAAAAACTTCAGGAAACTGCAGGAACTTTTAAGACAATTTGAGAAATTCAGGGATATCCAAAGAACTTAAAAGAAGTAAAAATATTTTCAGAAATATGGAGATAACTTGAGGAAAAATGACATTTTACAGAACTTCCAAGTACCTCAAAGAAGTTAGACTAGAGAGCTTAAGGGAATTTCAGAGATATTAACGGCACTTTCAATAACTTCATAAGTTCGTGAAATTCAAGAAACTCCAGACTTTCAGATAAGTTCGAAGATTTGTATGGGTAAGGTCCGATAAATTTCGGTCAGTTCCATAAACTTCAGAAAAACTTCGGGAATTTTTTTTAACAGTTCTATTTAGTTCAGGGTAATACCACAGACAAACAGACGTAACTCTTTGAAAAAGTTTTTCTTGAAAACATAGTATCTCAAAACATAGAACCTCAGTAGCGACATCTTTCAGGCTTCTCGCGGAAAACAAGCCTGCTCGCTAACTCGCAACAATATTGCATAAAAGTTCTATAGAATGTATAGAAACGTCAAAGTGATCCGATGCCAGCGCTGCGGCGAGTAGTTCGCGGAACTGATAATATTAAAATCAACCGTTAAATTCGTGAACGAAGATACACAATGAAGAGTTACGTCTGTTTGTCTGTGGTAATACCAACAATCAATACGAAACTAACGATTTTAAATTGACTCACTACTTGACTAGCGTATTGGTCCCAAGCAAACGATTAACGTACCCCATTCTAGTCGAAATTCTACAATGTTTAATGAGAGAGAGAAGGATTAGTATTTTCCATTTAATTCCACTACTTTATTTGCTTATCCTTGACAGATACGCGTATTTCGTCTACAATGTGCAGACTTCTTCAGTGTCTTGTACTAATACTCGACTGTCGAGTATTAGTACAAGACACTGAAGAAGTCTGCACATTGTAGACGAAATACGCGTATCTGTCAAGGATAAGCAAATAAAGTAGTGGAATTAAATGGAAAATACTAATCCTTCTCTCTCTCATTATACAAGTATTCCACTAAGACGCCCACATTCATCAGGATTCTAAAATGTTTGTTTTGATTCGCTATGAAAGTTTGACAGATAAAATGAGGGGTTAGTGAATTTTCCTATGTTTAGAGGGGTGAATCAATTAGCTTGGGACCGAAGATAGTACCAGAGCTGAGCCAAAAAGTTGAGCACGTTTCTTCGGGACCTACTTGTCTTAGAGTTACCTTTATGGTAATACCAAGAACTTCAATAGAATTGAGAGTACTTCAGGAATGCTTCGAGAGCAGAAGGACTGATCAGTGAAACTAAGAACAGTTCAACTAATTTCAAGGAAACTGAAGAATGTTTAAGAAGTTCCAAGAAAATTAGGGAATTTCCGAAACTTCATCACCAAGACCTTTATTTAAATTTCGGAATCATATAAGATGTTACATTTCAAAAAAATGTGAGATCATTTTAAGGGAGTTCCATCATAGAGGTAACTCTAAGACTAGAAGGTCCCGAAATAACGTGCTCAACTTTTTGGCTCAGCTCTGGTACTTTCTTCGGTCCCAAGCTAATCGATTCACCCCTCGAAACATAGGAAAAACCAATAACCCCTCATTTTATCTGTCAAACTTTCATAGCGAATCAAAACAAACATTGCGTAGTACTAGAATTTCGACTAGAATAGGGTACGTTAATCGTTTGCTTGGGACCAATAGGCTACTAAAGTGGTGAGCCAATTTAAAATCGTTAGTTTCGTATTGATTGTTGGTTCCATGGTTTTCAATGCAGTTTAAAGAACTGCAAAAAAATGCAAGAACTCCAGCAACGATCAGGTTATGTTCAAGAAAATCGCGAGATCTTTAAAATGATCCGAAATCTTCCAGAATTTCTAGAGACCTTCAGAGAAGTATATAGATTTTTTGGTAGTTTCATTATATTTTGAGAAGTTATCGGAACTTCGTAGATGATTAGAGATCTTCATATCAGTTTAATTTGTTTAAGGAAAATTGTAGGATATTTCAAGGAATTCCACTCAACGGAATTATGGGATATTTCAAGAATTTCATGAATTTTGCGATGCTTTAGAAACAATGCGAGGTCTTCAGGAAATTTTATAAATATGATTAGAAAAAATAATGAACTTCAGGAAAGATTCAAAACCTCACAGAAGTCCAAATAAAACTAGGATTTTTACGCGAATTGTCTACTTTTGTGGATGTTCAAAATCTTCCAGAGAACCACACCGCTACCTGATTGCATATGCTAGTCCTAGATCTTAATTCATACATGTAGCTTCAGAATAAGTGAATCGTGAAGCTCTTGAATCTTTGTTATGAATTGATCACTTTTACGCATGGTCTGGACCTCCCGAAAGATCGGGTTGTGGCCAGCAGAGTTCGCATGCTGGTCCCAGATCCAAATTCATTTATGTAGCATCATAATAAGTGATTTAAAAAAACGGAGCTCTAGGATCTTTTCTAAGAATGGGCCCCCTTTACGGATGTTCCGGATTTTTCGAAGGACCCTTCCATGGCCACCAGAGTGCACATACTGATTTCAAATCCAAATTCATTCATGCAGCATAACAACAAGTTAATTTAAAATTCTAGGTTCTTTTTTACTAGTTTTCCACATTTATGGATATTCCGGGTCTTCCAGAGGAATGCTTTGCTGTCCCTTGGGTCCACATTTTTGTCCCAGATCCAAATTCATTCATATATCACAATGTTCAAATGAAATACAAGACAAACATTTCATAGATAGCAACGCTTGGGCCGGTTGCTATCGTGCTGCTATATTTGTCAACCCGCTGTTCACAGAGAGACAGATTGTTATTTACCGCACTTGCATAGCAACCCCAAGTGCGGTTACTGCGTTATGGCGGAGGTTGCTAAAATAGCTTTAGCAACACATTGGTATGGGTGCTCTAAGAATTGGTGGCTAAATTCGAGGCTAAACGAATCAATTTACCCACTGTGAAACCGCCGATTCAAATGTGTCGCACACTGAAACCTCATATGAAGCCTCCTATGAAAAAGCACATGCAATCCGTTTGTAAACGGACGATCAGACCAACTCAAAATTGAGTCGAGTCGACTCAATTTCGTCAAAAGTGAATTTCTACTAAGCTGATTAAAATTTTAATAGATTTGCTTCATATTTGAAAACTTTTTCCTAGTTTGCACGGTTTTTGCCCGGAAAATGCAACTCACTTTTGAGTGAATCCACATTTGACGAATTGAGTCACGCGACTCAATTTTGAGTTGAGCTGATCGACCGTGCAGCTGCTTTTTCGCACTGGGACCAGAAAGCTCAAACAAAAGGGGAAAAAAATCAACTCAATCAACATACAAACGAAACCAGCAACACTGCTGTCAAAAAGTTATCGCAACAAAACTTCTCGGAAGCGGAGGAGGCAGCGAAACAGAAAAGAAACAGCTCTAAAAAGTGAAGAAAAGTTAAGATGGTGTTTGCAAAGATCGGTTTAATTTTGCTGCTAGCGCTAAATCTCGTCAAAGGTGAGCCCGTATTCCACTTTCGATCGGTAGTTCCGTGCCCGGCCAGTCGGTTTCCGATGGGAACCGTTCGCGAGTGTCGTTTTTCGGGGGTGAAAATTACGTCTGAAAATTCCATTTGGCTGGCTGGGTGGTGAAGTGAAGTACCTTACACTAGCTGCAGCAAATCAGCCCCCTCAATCAATGGACGAACGCGAGAGTGCATTTATGTTGCGTTTTTTCATTTGTGAAGGAAGGAGGCAGGAGCTTTTTTCCCTGAATATCGAAGAAAGAGTGTGCAAGCTGATTTTATGTTGATCTCACGTTGTGTGGGTGCGGGGAAAGTGTAGTGAACGAAGAAGGTGGTAGGGGTAAAGAACCCAGAGGAAGAAGCACAAAGCAGAAAACGATCATCTTTTCTTCGACCTGATGCTTCTTTTTATGTGTGCATGCATGGGCGCTCCACTGCCGCATTCGTACGTTCGCTCATTATACCTATTCCTCGATCCAGACATGACTCCTCGATGTCGCGACTGAATGGAATCTCTTGCGGATCGAGTTGGAAGCAAGCGGCGACGACGACGATCGGGCGTCGTCGTACAAGGCGTTTTATGTTTTCTTTCGATTTTGACTAACGACACACACAACTGCTTGGTGGGGATCGCGATCGGATTTATATACTATAGTTTGATGATGGTCGTTGCCGTCTTTTTGCGTCGTCGTGTTTCCATTCGCCGCGGTTGACAAATTTTGACGTGAGAAGTAGTGTTGATGATTATTGTTTACGTTTGTTTTGCTGATCAATGAACGGATTCGATTGGGCAAAGTCACAGAGAGGACATTGAATAAGGCGCAGCAAAAATATTGTCGAAACTAGCAAAAATTATGACATCTACAACGCAATCCATTCTGCTATCCCCTTCAACAGGAGATTCACACGGCAAGCTGCTGGATGAAACCGAGGAAACGATGGACCTGGAGACGTACCATCCGAATCGTGATCTTCCAATACCGAATACTATAGTGTCCCACCAAAGGTAAGCCTGCATAGTGTTGCTTTGTTTACATTAGTGTAGCTATTCGCGTCCAACTGATAAGCGCTGTAAATTATTGATAACACCGCCGATCTCCAGACATGGCACCAAACATGCTGAAAGCTGAAACTGTTAAGTCTGCCAGACGATTTTTTTTTTTGTTTTGCCTCTAAATTAGTTCTGCTATCAGACGAATTAAATTCCATATACAACGTAGATAGAGAGCGTAGCTTCCTGGCAGACTTGAACACTTTTACGACCTAATAATTATTGTGGAGCGCGCATCGTGAATCTTTTACCATTATCCAGTGAGTGTGAAGCAAATCGAGCAACAACTGGAGGAAAATATTCCACCCAGCCACAATCAACACTCCACTTTTCATAACATTAATAACATCTAATCATTCTTTCTCCCCTTCCCTTCTTCCCTTACCGATTGGCGCTACCCGTTGCGCAAATAACACACAAAACCGTTCCATCTAATTTTAACTCCCGATGAACCTTTATCTCCACGAAACTCGGTACCCAAACCACACATACTCGCAATAACACATTCTCTTCGGTGGTATTGTTTGCTGGATAAAACAAAAATCTGCCACCGGATTTCGGTGGTATTTACTGGTACTATCGGCAAACCAACAGGAGGCACTCTAAATCCAAGCGACGGATGAAACGAAGGTAACAAAACTTTGGGGCGACAAGATTTTCTGTTGTTCGATATTTTGTTGCGCTTTTATAAGATTTGCTGTTGATTTGTTCACATTTGTTTTATTATCTTTTATAGAATATGTGCTTCATTACAGAAAAATGCACACATTTATTCAATAATATTATTTGCTAATCTTCAGATTGCACCTATTTTGGACACAGTAAACAATGTGTTGAGTGAGCTATCAGTAACTTATTTTGTAATTGTACTAAGCACGGAATCCTAAGAGTTGAGATCCGAAAAATAAGTTTTTATTTAAAGATAAACTATTGCTGGTAGCACCAGGCCAATTTTACTAGAATTCTAATAATGTGGGGTGATTTGTTTGATAAATGTCCATACAAAAGCAGGTCTTACTCGCATTTGACTGAGTTCAATAAATTAGGTGTTTCGTACTGCTTCTGACAGCATAATAATCGTGATACTTTGGTCTTGCATCACGGAATCTGCTTTATAGCTCTTGAGACTAAGAGCAGTTTTCATAATAAACTTTTTAGGTTTATGTTTATTAATGATCTGTTCTTCAATATTGGTAAGACAGGGTGACCAGTAAGCCGGAAAATCGTTAAAACCGGAAAATCGTCGGGAATAAGAAATGAAATGTTGATAACAAATCGGGAAATACATACTTCGTCCTCTCTTCGGAAGAATCCGATTCTGGATCTTGCAAAAATGTCAAGACCCTTGGACTGGAAAAGATTGTAAAACTTTGAAGAGTATTTCAAGGAGGTATCAGATTGAATTCTAGGAATAACAAGAAGATATTTCAGCGAAAAATTCCATGTCGGTTTTGGGAAGAAATTTTTATAAAGTTTTGAATAGAATTCCAAGTCAACTGTGAGAGTTCAGAGTAGATGTTTTAGGTCAGGCCTGCCCAACCTTACAAAACTTGCTTTTTCAAATGGCTGTAATGTGCGTTCAATGAACATGTTAAAAACAACATTTTGTTTCTTTTTCATTCATGCTGGGCTGAAATTAATAATGATGAATAAAATTTGACTAAAATGATGCCATTGCTTAAAGGGTGATACGGTCAAAATTTGGTCAATATCAACTTGACGTATTTCTTTCAATTTTGCATTTAAAAAACCTGAACACCCCTCATTTTGAAGGTGTGTGTGTGTGTAGAATGTTGCTCCTATTTTGATTTTGGAATTCACTCTTCAGTTGTCAAAATGCCGTCCAAGCAAGAAGAGCAGCGTATCAAAATTTTGCTCGCGCATCGCGAAAAACCGAGCTACTCGCACGCAAAGTTGGCAAAATCGCTAAAAGTTGCCAAATCAACCGTTACAAATGTAATTAAAGTGTTTGGGGAACGTTTGTCGACAGCCAGGAAGTCTGGATCGGGGGGAAATCGAAAACCGGAAGCCGCTGAGACGACAAAGAGAGTTGCCGGTAGTTTCAAGCGAAACCCTAACCTCTCTCTCCGAGATGCTGCAAATAAGCTGGGTGTATCGTCTACAACCGTGCATCAAGCCAAAAAACGAGCCGGACTATCGACTTACAAGAAGGTAGTGACTCCAAATCGCGATGATAAACAAAATACGACGGCCAAAGCGCGATCCCGGAGGCTGTACACGACGATGCTGACGAAGTTTGACTGCGTGGTAATGGACGACGAAACCTACGTCAAAGCCGACTACAAGCAGCTTCCGGGAAAGGAGTTTTATACGGCAAAAGGAAGGGGAAAGGTAGCAGATGTTTTCAAGCACATGAAACTGTCAAAGTTCGCAAAGAAATATCTGGTTTGGCAAGCCATCTGTACCTGTGGCTTGAAAAGCAGCATTTTCATAGCTTCCGGGACTGTCAACCAAGAAATTTACGTGAAAGAGTGTTTGAATAAACGTCTGCTGCCTTTCCTGAAGAAACACGGTTGTTCCGTACTGTTTTGGCCGGATTTGGCATCTTGCCATTACGGTAAAAAGGCCATGGAGTGGTACGCCGCCAACAACGTGCAGGTGGTTCCCAAGGACAAGAACCCTCCCAACACGCCAGAGCTCCGCCCAATTGAGAAATACTGGGCTATTGTCAAGCGGAACCTAAAGAAGACCAAAAAAACTGCTAAGGCCGTTCGCAATGCTGAGTTTCAAAATTGTTTCAAACTACTCGTCAATTCTATAATTTGAAACTGTCAAAAATAAAACTGCAACACGATCAGCGCAACGCACAGTTCTAAAACATGTTTGTAATCATCAAGTTCCATAAACTTTACTATTCTCTATGAAGTTCTCCGTTTTTTTTTGTGGAGCTCTTCGAAACATCTTCAACACATCCAAAGAAATTTGAAACAGAGTTTCATTCGTGTTTCAAACTCGCTCAGAAATAAAACAGAATAGTCGAGCAGTTGCAAATCTAGTGCAAAATAGTGCTCGAATAATGAAACTGCAACTCAGCATTGCGAGAGGTGCGTTTCTGTTCTAGTTTCAAATTGAAACAGTCCTGATAAAATACAACAGCATTGCGAACGGCCTAAGGGCGAGCAGCAGTTCAAGGCAAACTGGCTTTCTGCGGCGAAGAAGGTGGACAAGGTGGCTGTACAAAATCTGATGGCAGGGGTCAAGCGTAAGGCCCGGCAATTCGGATTTGGAAAAGCGGAAGCCTAACTGAATATTTTTCCTGAATTTTATACTAATTGAACTTGAAAAAGAAATTTAATTTGATTTTTTAAATAAACGATTTCACCGATTTACACGCGTTTTCCCTTGACCAAATTTTGACCGTATCACCCTTTATACACCCGCCTGAAAGACGAAGCAGCAAAGGTCGGACTGGTGGTGAGTGCGTCAAAAACAAAGTACATGCTAGTAGGCGGAACCGAACATGACAGGATTCATCTAGGAAGTAATGTCACGATAGACGGGGATACTTTCGAGGTAGTGGAGGAATTCGTTTACCTTGGATCCTTAATGACGGCTGACAACAATGTGAGTCGTGAAATACGAAGGCGCATCATCAGTGGAAGTCGTGCCTACTACGGGCTCCAGAAGAAACTACGGTCCAAAAAGATTCACCCCCGCACCAAATGCACCATGTACAGAACACTAATAAGACCGGTGGTCCTCTATGGACACGAGGACCCTGCAAGCACTCGGAGTTTTCGAGCGACGTGTGCTAAGGACGATCTTCGGCGGTGTGCAGGAGAACGGTGAGTGGCGGCGAAGAATGAACCACGAGCTCGCTGCACTTTACGGCGAACCCAGCATCCAGAAGGTGGCCAAAGCCGGAAGGATGCGGTGGGCAGGGCATGTTGCAAGAATGCCGGACTGCAAAGTTGGTGTTCGCTACTGATCCGGTCGGCACAAGAAGGCGTGGAGCGCAGAGAGCACGATGGGCGGACCAGGTAGAGCGCGATCTAGCGAGCATTGGGCATGACCGAGGATGAAGAGCGGCAGCCGCAAACCGAGTATTGTGGCGTACTATTGTTGATTATCCCGTAAAAAAAAGAACCGTAGAGGTACAATGAAATGTATTGTAACCATACAATAGAGTTTATGGTATTTACAATAAATCGTATTCTCCACAACGATAAAATAACAATAGAATGTATTGTTTCTACAATAGAATCTATGGTAAATGGGGGATTATACAATAGATTAAGGGGGTTGTTATGTATCTTAACCATACGAAAAATCACTTTTTCCCGAACAAACTTGAACCATTTACCATCAATTGTATTGTTGTTCTATTGTTGAAAACTCTTACTATATGGGACGTATTGTACATCTATTGTAATAACAATATGTTAAAACTTCGTGTACTATATACACACAATAAGATCGATTGTTGGCAATAGATTTACTTGTAACTGTATTTTATTTTATGGTAATTGTATGGTTATTTTTTTCCGGGATGTCTTACCTTTAATGTGATGTTGTACAAATAAATGTATGTATGTAGGGGGGAGGGGGTAATTTTTTGCTCGATTTAGCGTGACATAATTAATGCATTGGCCCTTAAACATAGTGTTGGGCATAGTGCGCTGTATTCGCACTATGGTGCGATATAATGCGCACCATGTCCGAGAGTAAAATCGAATGTCACATATGTGGTTTTCCGGTGATCAATCGAAGTCCCAAACACACCAACACAAATACATCGCAAATACACGAAATCTGGTTACGTTAATATAGGTCGATTTCATCAACATTTTTAGTGAACATGATGTGTAGGTCAAAGTTACTAACGTCACGTAACATTTGAGATTTTCTAATATTTTACGTAAATCGGACGTGACGATTTTTTAGAGTGTAGGATTTCCAACTCGAAAGGTTTTCTATAGACAGGGCTGGTAGCA